CGTGTTCGTACACCTGAGGATGACCTCTTGAGGTCGAAACATGTAGTGTAATAATAATAATAATAATAATAATAATAATAATATGTTGTTGTGTGGTCAGTAATATTACTCTAATGTTAATATTCATACTAAGTTGAGCCCATTAGAAAGACACATTGCAGGTGTCGAAGCTAAGACTTTCTTTGCATCGGGCCCAGCAAAGTAGGAAGTTTTCCTTATTTACACCCTTTGAAGAAGAGAGATCCAGTTTCCGAAACCTGTTTGAAAAAATCTCAAGACTATGGATAATAGATGAATGAATAATTTAATAGGCCAGTACAGTTTATATGGTAGGGTGCCGGAGTTTGACTCTCGGATCCAAACTTCAGGCATTCAGTTTAAATTACTATTCTCATTAGGAGTCTGTCTTCCGATTCACCTTTATAATACATGAGATTGTGTATGTTGATAGCCAAGTCTAAAGGACAGTTTGTTCCAGAAATATATTGCCATATTTCACGTCTGTTGTTCCACACTGTAGATCGTGTTTGGGCTTTAATGTCCGGGATGTTGAACATCTACAATAAAAATATATTCGACAAGAATTTTGTATTACCATCTCTGTTTGATACAGTAATTTTCTGCTATTAACGTATCATAAACGATATGACAGAAATAGGTGATAATATTCTGGGACACACTGTATTATGCGTACAAATGACCATCCACAATGAAATCTCTACCTTGGAACCCATTACTCAGTCATTCAGCACGCAGTACGCTTATATCTTTTACCTGCACATGAGCTGTATTTTTGTGTCAGTATAACTTCCCATAACCTCAAATGATAACATCGACAATCAGAAATCTTTGAAATAATGAGATTTCCATAACAATTGTTTATATATTAACGATATTAAATATGGGTTTAACAGTTAATGTGACGATTTTTAACAGATATGGATATCGGTGATATGGTAACACATTCTCATAAATATATTCAACATCAAAGCAAACATCTTCTAAGTACATAGAATCAGTTCTGCAATATACTCGTAATCACCAATATTTAAAGCGTGTTTGTCTTGTGATGCATGCTGGGAAAGTAACAGTCGTTTTCTTAATGAATTCCATAATCTATCGCTTTGTTTCAAGCTGAAATACAACAGTCATTCTTGTTATCGTGTTCTGGATTATCACACCATTTTGCAAGGTTCGTTTCCGGAGTTCAGCGGCGCAGATGGAGACACTGTACGCCTGTATACAATATAACATCTAATAAGAAGACGGTCACAATACGATTTTAACAAATGTGTAAACCTCTGACCTTATACGATGTTACTGGTTTATTTTAAGCCCATTTCATTATCCTAATCAAACGTGACTTATATTCTCACCATATAATATATATGTATATTGCAATGACGCAAGCCTAAAGACGATAACTAAGGTTAAACTTGAGACATGCGATGCACCAGCGTGCTTACCTTGTCCCATCTCAAACGTTTATTGAAGAGTGCTAATGTGAGATAACTTTCATATCAACGTCTGGCACTGTCTCATGAAGATGCCATTATAAATGGAGATTTCGGTCTCTTACGGCAGCGAATAACATTGCAATCTTCTGCGAAATTATGCTTTGTAGTCTGTAGAAGTTTACCAACGTTCTGGAGCAAAATTCTGCATCTATCTTGAGGGTAGAAGAGATTAGTCATCTTAGACATTGAGTCAACAGCACGACAAGGCGAAGAAAAAAGATAGAGGCACTCAGTTCCTCTGAAAAGCTGGTAATTTTCTACCAGACTATAAAGTGTCACTTCCAATGAGACAGTAAGGTTTGATAAAGCGATTTCGTGTCGAGGTCAGTGGCGCAAATCAAAGTTCTATTACATTTTTCGGAGGGGAAAAAGAAAAACTGTTGAATTTCAAGGTTACGAACGAGAATCCAAACCAGGTTCCGTCTTGGCAGCTCCAGAATTCAAGCCCAGAGTGCTTGCAGCTATGCTGACCTACTGTAGACCTGCCATGTTGGACTGAGACAGCAGTACTTGTCTGCTGATCATTAATGCAGGGTGGAAAATATTTTGAAGATTAAAATCTCTGATTCAGAGGAGGAGCCAAACGGCGAAACTCGACTATAAGCCGCGTCTATGAGTTAATTATCTTCATGTAACTGCCTCTTTCTTGAAAAGCTAACAGTTTCTCAGTTAATGTTTTATGGAACCCGAATGTTCACTGCCCGTACCCTGACCCAGATAAATTCAGCCCATAATCTCTCAACCTACTTTTTAACACCCGTTTTAATATTATTCTGCTATCTGCAACTAGGTCTGCTTAATGATCTCTTCAGAGGTTTATTTCACAAAATTGTACAAAATTTTCTTCTCTTCTATGCGTGCCACATGCTCCCCCTATCTCATCTTCCTTCACTTGGTGATTCTAATAATATTTTTCTGAGGACGGAGTACGTAAGTGATTGTAAGGCTAAAGTTCATTCGTATTTTTTGTTCCTAGTTCATTCAGTTGCTTACAAATTAAAATAACGTAGGTGTTAAACAATCGTCGTTTAATAATATAATTTTAAGAACATCGATTTTAAAGTTACAAGAATCTTATATTCTCTACCGAGCAGAAGAAGTTGGTAGCAAAACGCTCTCTCGCTCAGAATTCAGCAATATTTCACCAGAATGTACGGAAGAAAGCGTGACCCAATTAAACTGAAAAATCTGTGAGGTGTAACTGCTAAATAAGAATTAGAAATATATAGGAATTTATTAAAATCTAAGTACTTTTAAAACTGGTTACGTATTATGAATAAAACACAAAAATTTCAGTCTTAATATTAATTAGAGCATTTAATTTTTAGGATTGAAATATTTTGGGAAGTAACGCAGTTTAGTCTGGTAGATAGTTACCGAATATTTCGAAAGAGCCTGCTACCTCCAGGGTAACACTAAAGATGGAGGCAGAAAATTCCTCCGAAACGCTGATGCCCATCTACCAAACTCTCTTTAATAATCTAGAAAACCGTAATCTCGAGTCTCACTTCCGGGAGGACCTCCAGTCGTATAAAATTATTTCCATCCTGCAGAGAAAGACTTGAATTCATTCTACTGTTCCTTTCCCATCATCCTTTGCAAAGTATATAAACTACTGTCATCAATATAAAACTCTTCTTTAGAATAACATAATGGTACAATGGCAACACAATTAAAATAATGGCAATATAAATTAACAATTACAAGTTCACAGGAATTTTTGCGACGGTAGACAAGTCAGTTTGTCCCTCCGCGTAAACCACAGATTTTGGGTCCATGGGAGGGACCTTATCCTTTTGTCAGCAACCATTACGTAAATTCGCACTAGAAATCTCATTGCATTCGATCCATTTCGCAACTTCTAGAGGCATTTCCGGTTTCTGAATGCCTCCTTCTGGCCCTAAAAGTTCTTTCATTATGTCATCTGCGTTACAGGATATGACGCGTTGCTGGCAAATAGCAATCGCCCTGACGAAGTCGTCCTTTGGAGTGATGAAACGATGCTCCATATAGAGGGCCTTGCTGTCCCAGTAGATAATCTGAAAGAAAGAAAAAAAGATGAAATGAAGGGTAGCCAGTACAACTACTGCCATCTATTGAGCGAGTACAGAAAGCAGATGCGAAGGGTCGACTCCGTGGAGCCGTGGCACTCGCCACAGTCATGGAACACACAGTAAAGCAAAGCTATCCCTGAAACAGGTCGCGGAGGCCCACATGGTTGTAAGACGTCATGGCTCCCATATTTTCTGTAGACAATCGGCTCACAGATGGCGGTGAGATTGGTGTACACAGTAGACCACCGATTATCCCAATTAATTAGTTACAAATGTGGTTCGCATAATTGAAAATTCGGATAACTGTATTAAATTCTTGTCCTGAAATAAACACCATTACAACCTACTGTACTGCTATATTAATGAAAACAAGAATTTAAAACAGGTGCAACATGAAAAATTAATAAATATAATTACAAATTAACATTTTCAAACACTCTACTTGAAAAAAGTGAGAACATTCCGCAATCCTTGATTGTACTGATTGGGCTAATTGACAATTCGGATAATAGGTGTTCAACTGTAATTTATTTGCGTCGCATTAGAATTAGAACAAAAAACTAAAATTTACAACAAAACTCACCTATTTTGCAAATAGAGTCGTTTATTGTATAAAAATAAATTATCTTGAAACAGAAGGGCGATAAGTTTCCCATACAAATATAAATTTAAAAATTATGCAAATAATTAGCTCAGTCGGTATAGCTATGGACTACGAGTTCGACGGCCGGTGCTCGATTTAAGGGAGGGTTAAAATATTATTCTCTAGTTCACAGGTTCACAGAATGTAATCTGACCTTAATTTCCTCATGAACAAAATTCTGATTTCTTACTGACATTTCAAAATATTTTAATTTCGTCACAATTTTAAAGGATGTTCTAGTTATTTCTGAACACACACAGTTCAGATATTTGGGAACGACGATAACAAATCAAAACCTGATTCAGGAGGAAATTAAGAGGAGACTGAACTCGGGTAATGCTTGCTAACATTCAGTCCAGAACCTTTTGTCTTCTCACCTGCTGTCCAAAAACATAAAAATTAGAATATACAAAACTATAATTTTGCCTGTGGTTCTGTATGGGTCTGAAAATTGGTCTCTGACATTAAGGGAGAAAGAGAGACTGAGGGTGTTTGAGAACAGGGTGCTGAGGAGAATATTTGGACCGAAGAGAGATGAAGTGACAGGAGGTTGGAGAAAACTGCATAATGAGGAGCTTCATAACTTGTACTCTTCTCGAAGTATAATTAGAATGATCAAGTCAAGGAGGATGAGGTGGGCAGGGCATGTAGCACGAATGAGGGAGAAGAGGAATGCATATAGGATATTGGTGGGACAGCCAGAAGGATAGAGACAATTTGGAAGAGCAAGGCGTAGGTGGGTGGACAATATTAAAATGGATGTTAGAGAGACAGAACGGGATGATGGTATGGATTGGATTGATCTGGCTCAGGATATGGACCAGAGGAGGGCTGTTGTAATCACGGTAATGAACCTTTGGGTTCCATAAAATGCTGAGAAATTCTTGAGTAGCTGCAGATTTGGCGACTCAAGAAGGGCTCAGTTCCATAAATAAGTAAAGAGTAAGTAAAGGTATCCCTGTAACAGGACTTGGAGGCCCAGAGGGTTATGAGATGTTGAGTTCCAACATTTTCTAGACAATCGGCTCACAGATGGCGGTAAGATTGTCAGCCCTACGCGCCGGCCGCCCTTTACCCCCCAAGAACATTCAAAGAATCTTCCTGCTACTCATTTCTATTAGAGGCTGACTCGACCCCAGGGCCATAGTGCGGCTGGAAGGATTAGGCAAATTGAGAAAAATCCAATGATCATATCGGGACTCAGACCCGCTACCTTCCGGCTTGTAGCATAGTGCCTCAACAAACTACACTACGACGTGCCTCACCAACTGTAAAAATTCTAAGAAAAATTACACATTTCAGAGCTCGAGAAACTAATTTGTTATGCCAACACGCACCCTGTTATAGGTTCCTGTCCATAGTCTCTGCATATTTTAGGCTGTTGTGATCCAAAACGAACCAGCATTTTGCACTGTGAACTCGGTCGCTAAGCAAAGAATGTCCTGACCAAGGTAATGTTTCACTGTGTACGTTGCAACATCCTCGAAGCCCAACATCACAGTGGCTACGCCCCATCTGTCATCCTTCTCTTAAGCAAACCCATTAGGAATTCAATTTTCTGGATAAACTTCACTGAATGAAATTGAAAATTGAGCTGGGAGACCAATCGCATTTCATTTTTTAATTTTCTTTCAAGTTTTCTTGCAAGAATGAAAGAAAAAATCGGTAAAACAAGAGAATCCATAGTATATTGAACTATAAGTAATGTTACTGACATTGCAGTATGCTACAATACGAAAGGTCGCGGGGTTTGATTCCTGATGAGGTCATTAGATATTTCAGTTGACCTAATCTTTCCAGCAACTTTATGGCCTTGGGTTCAACTCAGTCTCTAACAGGAATGAGTACTTCCTGGGTGCATAAGGTTGACAACCTCACCGCCATCTGTGAGCCGATTGTCAACAAAATGTGGAAACCTCGACGTCTCACAACCCTAGGGGCCTCCATAACCTGATACATGTGTAGTTGTATCTCTTACTTAATTACGTAATTAAGCATTATGCTATGAAAACATATGGAGGAGTAGAGATATAGCTTCATCATTGTTGACCTCGGTACTACACAGGCGAGTGGTCAGCTTTTTGATCCGGCCAACTTTCCCGCAGGGGAAGGTGCCCCACGGTATCCACTGGACAGGAGGCTGAATGAGCCCCGGACCGGGTCTGGACGCTGTGGAGTAGGAAAAAATCTTATGCCCCTAAACGGGTATAGATCACCGGCCGTACAGCTGTCGCTGTAGCGGCTGAGCTAGCCCGACTCTTCAAACTATCAGATGTAGGAGAAGAAAGTGACAAGTGTGTTAAGGACTAGAAACGTTGCTAGGTAAGAAAGCTCAACAATGGCTACGCCTTGACAATATTTTCACTAAATTACACACTCCAAACATTATACATAAAGTCTTCTCTTCACAGCCGCCCGTACAGGACTGAACTTAACTCTCAACTGCGTCGGAGCGCCGAATGTCAAGATAACCCCTCGGCGTGGACCACGCACAGAAACACCATATCACGTGACCGCTTCCCAGTTAGTTCATTGGCTTGATGACTGCTGCTTAGCAACGAGACATAACATTCATCCTATTGTTGCATGCGAGTAACGCGGGGTTTATCGAGTAGTTGACTAGCAGTGCTTTGAGGAAGTACGTCACAATTGTAACAGTAATTTCCTGTGTGGCTTAGAGCACTAAAACAGGTATTTATTTAACGACGTTGTCAGTAGCTGATAGTAACCAATGTCTGATGATAAGATGGTAATAAATATTGAACTGAAAATGTGTAAAGAGTGAAAACGTGACCTAATTTCAGGTGTTATCCTGTTATCTGTGTGAGGCACTAAAGAAAACGATAAACATCTCAGTCAGGAAAGCCGATTTAATAACCGAGATTCGAACCTGGGACCTCCTGAATGTGAAGGGGTGATAGCCACTCTGATGCGATGTTGGGTACTGAAACAATACCGCGTGTGATATAATTGAAAGGTACACAAATGTATAACACGAAACAAAGAGGAATAAAACTGCTTGGAAGGACCGATAAATACCACGAAACACTTCAAGAATGTATCAGTTTCTTTTAGGCTCCTCTACGGTGCCTTTCAGTTACCAATTTGCATCTCTTCCTGCTCTTCGTCGTGAACGAGTAGAAGGGGCATTTAGACTATATGCATTACACAAGTGTCGAAGAAGCTGCAGGAGACTAAGGCGGTGCTTCAAATGCGTAACATGTTTCAATAAAGACCCCATTTATCTAACTCCAGGGAGCTGAACCCTTCTTGAAAGGCATATACAGGATGCTTCACGACTTTAGGGCATAACTGCAGGAGGTGATTTCCTAGGCCTTTGTGATCAAAAAAGTTCATATAAACATGTGTCCGATTTTGGACGGTTACGGAGTTATGACCGCTTTAGACTCAGAACAGAAGGTAACGATTACTGACAATAAACGGAACAAAATAATAAACCAGCATAATACAGTCTTAATATTTGACCCTGACGAAGGAGACAGTATGTTCCTCCGAAGATTCGGTAAACTTTTACCCGACTACACCACATCATATTCCGGAAAGAAATCATCTTTTTTTGCACGAAATTTCTTGTAACGCTCTACACTGAAGCTACAAGTTTGTTTCTTCGTAATTCTTGCTTACCTTTGATGTAATTTTGAAAATCGAGAAGGGCCGAACAAAGCGCCGGTAGCGAATGGTGCACGCGCCCTGCACCACGGCGCCGCCTTTCTGACGGATACTCCTGTAGAGTCCGGTCCGCTCGTAGAAGTCCACTCTAGCAAAGTCGAGCTCTCTGAGGTAGCGTGCGTTATTCATGTGATAGAGAAGTGTGTCCACATCTGTGGTAATGCAGACACCTGCAATCACAACACAAACAGAGGCTACATGTACATTCCACGTGTTCTGCAGAATACAGCGCCAAATGGGAGGATGTGAGATGAACTGGATCGGTCTTGGCCTAATTGAGGTGCTATCCAGAAATGTGCCTGGAGGGACTGAGGAAACATGCTAAACCCCTCAGTCAGGATAGTAGATGTCCAAGCTGAGTTTCGAACCGAGAACTTTCGGAACACGAGTTCAAGATCTCACTGATACACCAACCTTCTCAACATCACATATTAATAATACATGAAAGTTTGTGACGACGGTATATTAATACATCTATTGCGTTTTTGGACGTTATCCATTGTCCTGCCTTGCGTTGGTGTCCGGAAACACAAGAATTGTATTACCATGTTAATCCAATACGTAATCTTCAGGTTCAGTAAACATGATTGTTTTTGACATTGTCTATTATCTTGAGGGGGCACACGGTAGCGCAGTTGGTTGAGGTACTATAGTACAAGCCGCAAGGTCGCGGGTTCGAGTCCCGATGAGCTCAGTGGATTTTTCAATTGACCTAATCCTTCCTGCCACGCTATGGCCCTGGGGTCGACTGAGCCTCTAACATAAATCAGTACCAAGAATCTTCCTGGGGGTTAAGGGCGGCCGGCGCGTAAGGCTGACAACCTCACCGCCATCTGTGAGCCGATTGTCTAGAAAATGTAGGGGCTCCGATGTCTCGCAACCCTGTGGGCCTTCACGGCCTGTTACAAGGATAACTTAACTTTTACCTTTGAGTCGTTCATCCACGATATTTCGGGAAATGGTTCTATTACAATAATCGGGCGTAAGGGACGAGCTTTTCAGCTGCTCCGTTAGACAGCACAAGTCTCGTTACTGAAACGCGAAGTTAAAGGTAAAATTACAAATTGTCAATGAATAATCCGTCGAGTGTAACAATGTTTTTAGGTCACTTATTTATTTCACTCGCCTTACATGTTTCGGTTCAAAAGAAACCATCATCAGAGGCGCGTTACAGACACATGAAACCACTGGCGTTGTATTGTACACAGTATGTAAGCTGCGTGAACTGCTACAGATGTCGGAGTGTAAAAGCACAACACATCCGACATCTCTAGCAGATCACGCAGCTTACATACTGTGTACAATACAACGCCAGTGGTTTCATGTGTTTGTAACGCGCCTCTGATGATGGTTTCTTTTGAACCGAAACATGTAAGGCGAGTGAAATAAATAAGTGACCTAAAAACATTGTTACACTCGACGGATTATTCATTGACAATTTGTGATTGATAGTGTAACGGACCAAATATGAAACAATTCAAATTAAAGGTAAAATTGTCCATGTTCTTAATTAAAGAATACAAATTGAAGACGTAACAAGAAGTGGAGGTATAGCTCCACGTATTTTTATCCTCGATATTAGATAATCGGGTCCCGGAACACATTATCTAGGAAGCAGGATGGTCCCCAAGGCCCTCTTGGACGCTACGTGCGGAGAATCCGAACCCTGTTTCCCGATAGCCCATTTCGTAATTTAATAACTGCACTGAGTTGTTGCAGCTCCTTAAGATGAAGTCGTCTTGTGCTTAGTTAAGTAAAATTACGAAATAAATATGTATTGGGGAGTGAGGGGCATAGTTCCATGTTTTCCTCGGCAGGTGAGTGAACGCTTTCACGCCCCGGCCGGCCGAACCCCGCGGAAATAGCCCCAGTACGCATTGGATAGAAGGCTGGACCGGTCCCAGAGCCACTGTGGCTGCTGTGAAGAGGAAACTATCTCTTGCCACTGCTGAATTAAAACAGGATATGAATTTATTTAATTATATTCGTACCTGTATTTTTGTATATTTCGATATTTTTATAGATTTATACGTACAGTCCACATATGCTTGGCTATTTGTGTACGTCATCTGATGATGACTGCTTAGGGTCGAAACACGCGGATAGTAATAAATAAAAAAGAGGAAATTTTTTATTTTAAAATTTTCTGCTTGTTTATCTTACGAAGGAAAACATAGATTGAAATCCCTTAGAACTGATAGATATTAAGTGACGTTTCGGAGAAACAAGCTGCTTCCATCTTTAGTACAGAAATGTAAGCCTTTCTCTTCTACCCTGAATCCTAAGACAGCAGGTTCCTCCAAACCGTTGAACACGACTTACCAGATACACGGCGTCACATCTGTCACTATTGTATGAAACAGATTCCGAGTCTTGACGTGTTTCCTGTGAGGTAGGGACTGAGTTTTTATATACATTTCAGATGAATATGGAACGCCAAACGGTTAATCCCGTCCTGGCTTCTTTACCGGGGTAAGCACGGGGAAATCCAGGTGAACTGTTTCGATGACTCCCAATGGATCAATAGGCAAGCTGTTAGGAAGGCTTCAGGACAGAAATACCAACTTCTGCATTGCTGCAGTCGCTTCTCATGCAGTATACCGGCTGTATCGCTTTGTACACCGCTTGGAATGCCAAGTGTCGCCAACCAAGCTCACGATTCTGCATTATAATTCCCTACTGGTGCGTCCTCAGGACATAGACGAATGTGACAACTCACATATACAGGATGGCCCAGAACAAGTGTATATAATATAAATATGTTGTTTTTTTTTTTTAGAAAATAAACAGAAATAGGGGAGTATAATTTTCACCACATGAAAGAGCTCTTAAATAAGATTCTCCCCACACCTTTCCCAATTCCACTGCATTTCGACCTGAGCTCCCTCTGTTGCTCGTATATGTCCATTCGTTATTCAAATTCCATGAAACTGACGCATGCGCATATTCAAGTGTCTCGATGGAACAGGCATCGTACGTAAAACTTTTGAGAGTTTCGATCTCATGTGGTGAAAAACGTATCTTTCTGGCTGTTTATCTTCTCAAACAAAAATGTTTAAATTGCACTCATTCTCGGGCACCCAGTACTTCAGCAACGTTAAGGACCCCCCCTTCTCCCCCCCCCCCGAATAACCATATGAATAACTCATAGCACTGAAACAGAATTAAAATAGGGAAGGGCGCAAAATATGTATACAAATTTAAAAGTACAAAACGTCTGTTTAAATAAATTATTTGTATATATTTGGTTCAAGTTTGAAAATATCTGTAGATAACGTCTATTAAAAAGTGATACAGCGGTCACCTGCGGACAATTTTAAATGGAATCCTAGATATAGCAGTAAATTATTTAAGCATGTAGTTACATGTATGAATCAGGAAATTGAAATCAAACACCTAGAAGCATCGGACCTTCCCTTATGTCATGATTCTGCCCTGCATTTAGTTTCCTCTGTGTTTACTTCTACACCAATCTCCTTACAAGCGTCACTTAAAGTTGCTATGTTTCTCTTTACGGAATCTATATTATCACCCAGTAGATTCACATCATCAGCATAGACCAACAGCTGATATGTCCCATTTAATTTCAGTCCAAACTGTTTTCCTGGAGATTTCTAACGGCATATTCTAAACCAAAGTTGAAAAGGAGTGGCGATAAAGCATCTCCTTGTTTTAGACCGTTCTGGATATGGAAATTATCAGACAAATGTTTATCTATACGGATTTTACCGTACGTTTAGTTTAAACACATTTTAATCGGCCTAACTACGAGTTTCCTAAGAATGACTGCCCTGACGAGTATCAGTAGTACTTTTAAACAACAGCCCCGTCCTATCGTCAGAGAGGACGTTACGTAAGTATTAGAATCGCAAGTGTTTAGTGGGAAAAAAAATTCTGGTCGTGAGCCTCAAGAGGTTTGGCGCCAAAACGAACTGATTGGCGGTAAACCCGCCAGTCATAAAGTAACGCTGACTGACTCTGACAGAGACCACTACATCTCCATTGAAGATATACCAGTCTTCTGGGCAAACAATTGTTGTATATTGTGAGAATTGCATGAAACACGTAACTACGCCCTGTGGGAAGAATTGCAGAGGTTTTGGATGTTACAGCAGGAGGTATGTATAAAAACTATTAGTACTTAAGTGGATATCTTCCTAATTATGATACCGTGCATTCTGATAGGTGAAGCTTCAGATATGTCAAGTGGATAATAACATTTCCGAGGAATATTTCATGTATGAATTGTTTATTTTCCGGGGTAGAGAACCAAAATTAACGGCCGTGGGGATCCGTTGCGCTGACCACGCGACACCATCTACCCGCAAAAGTTGACACTGACTTCGTTGACAAGCGGCGGTTGCTCGGTCAGCATAGTTCGCTTGCGGACTAAAGGCCACAGAGGAAAGGAAATGAATTGTTTACTTAACGACGTTATCAGTAACGCAGACCATATAACGTCGAAATTTTGGATAGTTGTGAGTGGTAACCTTCGGCTTCCATAAAATGCTGGGAAGTTCTTGAGTAACTGCAGAAATGCCGGCTCCTCCAGAAAGGCTCAGCTCCATGGCCGAGTCTCGACCCAGGCATATGCCAAGTATAGGTCAGAATTGTTCCACTTGCGTCAGCTATCTGAGTACGAAATATCGGGCGTCCAGAATAACAAAAAATTATGTCTCGGAAACTGATTGTCATACACATATCCGGTTTACGTCTTCGGAAAGGAAAACTGTAATTTTTTTTTCATGCCCGGCTTACGCGCATGCGCCGCCGCATTCCTGTCACCATGTTAGGAATTACTTGGACAGAGTGATGGTTGGGAGATAGATCGGCAGAAGAGGATCAATCGCTTGGCCCCTAGGTCGCCAGATTTAACCCCACTGAATTATTTCTTGTGGGTTTATGTGAAGAATATTGTCTAACAGGTTAAGATCAACGACCTGTAACACCTGAAAGCACGCATAAGGGACGCTGTGGCTAGGTAATACCAAACATGCTTCAAGATTGGATATTTGTCGTGCCACCAAGGGAGCCCATGTTGAAATTTATTGAGAAAGTTATATACTCAGAAAAAACTTTGATAGTGTCCCTTTGTAGTGGTGTAACCCAAAAATATGTATAATAAAAGCTTTCTGAGATATAATTATTTTATTTTGGATACCTATCATCC